CTCCATTACCAACATAATTTTTATTAAATTAGCGTTAGGGAAATTTTGTACTAAAAAGTAAACAAATTTGTAATCTGAATCGTTGAAACTTAAAAGCTCATTTTTAAGAATAAACCCGCTTAAAAAGAAAATCTTTGAAATTAAGGCCATCTAAATCCAACAATATTATAATGCTCTATTATTTTTACTTTTGTCATTATTGTAGACTCTACAAACTTAAATTTTGTAGTAGATATATCTTTGTTATAAATAAAATGTAAATACCATGGCTAAATATATTTATAATATGAATAAAATGTAAATACTATTATGGCTAAATGCATTTATAATATAAATAAAATTTAAATACATAATATATTATTATTTATTATTTTTGTTTGTGTATTAATGAACATCAGATGAGGAAACCACAGGGCTGGAAGTTGTTTGATGTATAATTATATTTTATTATAAAATAATAAAAATATACTGTTATGAAAAAATGCAATTATTTATCCAATTCCTCATTGAAACGCCACCAATATAGTTTAAGTCTATCTAGTCTTTATTAATGTTTGTAATATTCTTTTAAATTTATTTTACTATTATTTATAGAACTATAATAATTGTTGAACCAACTAAATTTGATTGCATTTGTTTATAGTTATGCATTTATACTTCAGTAGTTTAAAATATAAAGTATATTTATTGTATTTGTTTAATTAATATAATACGTTTAAATAATTAAAACGATTTGACATTTATTTTTCATGGATGGTCACTCTGACTGTCGGAGAAAAAAAWARWWGTCATCATTTGTCGGAGAACGGTCCTCGGCCGGTATCAACTGTTGACTGTTAAGTCTCGGCCATAGACCTTTTACTCATAGACCGGCCGATCCTATACTAAATACATTGATAGTCGCAAGCTGACATTGCGCAATGATGTAGTCCATTTACGGATCAGTGTTACCATAACATCATGCATTCGATGTATCAAAAAATATTGTACAATGGTAATATATAATATTTGAAAAATATAATATAGCCAATATATTAGGTAATATAATTTATATTTTACAAGTTTCTCTTACAGCTAGGTGTACTGTTAATGTATAATGTTTAATGTTTTTTTTATACAATGCAGGTACATAATAATCATAAATATTACTTGAATTTGCTAATATTTGAAACATCCAAAATTGTTGATGTATTTAAAACGGGAAAAGAATTTGGACATAATAAGAGACCATTCATTTTCAAACCATCATTCTAAAAGTGTACACTACAAACGCGATATGAAACTAGACATTTATTTAGCAAACAGATGTCCATCCATTTTTTTTTAAAGATTTTCATCTGTTGGAAATCTATAAAATGGATAAAATAGGTAATTATGTTCAGTTAAGTACCAATAATACTATAATAATGCTAATATATATACTAACCAAAATAGTTTAATATTGTCACTAAACAGTGTTACTGCATACAATATATTTTAGACCCATATTAATTAAATTTGAAATTTAAATAGCTGTATTATAAAAAAATGTGATATAATATCATATAATAAACTAAAGAAAGTGAAAAAAAGTGTTAAAAGTGAACACTTAACTGGATTTACATTTAAAAAACGCGTATTATAAAAACGCGCGAAAAAACTCATAAACATTACGAGATAATATTATATCCAAGATAAATAGGACAGCTACTGGTCCTATACGATTATTTTTTACTGTACAGAGTAACTCAGTAACCGAAAAGCGCCACCTATCATGACACGGCGGAAACGTGAAGAGGGCCGGTCTATGAGTAAAAGATCTATGGTCTCGGCTATAATGACGGTAACGATGAAATGGTCACACGCATCGATTGACGTGACGTAACACCAACCACAGATTATATAAAACCAGATGGTGCACTTCTTCGATTTACTGATAACACGAACCTACCTCAAATCAGTAGGGTCACATACGAGAAATAAATTAATGTACCACAACTTTTACCATAATTTTTAATTATTGTATCAAATAATATTTAATACATAATAATATTATATTATATGTACCTTGAGCGTCAATGGCTCAATGCTAATGGAATTCCAAAAATCATATAACATTTTGCGTATCTTTAATTCAATATATGGATTAGTCTGTTATAATCTTGGSGCTTATGTTTRTMAAATCTACTTGTATTTTTTAAAACTTTTAACAGATATTCATGTTAAGCACACAAATACTTCCCCAACATTTTTTGAGAAGTGTTTTTTAAATATTTAAAATATTTTTTTGTACA